AGAGGCTGAGGACTCTGGAGTTTAACCGGGAGAAGCTTCAACAGAAGGTCCTCAAACCCAAAAAGGCTGTGAAGAAACAGCAGAAACCCTCTACACCTTCAGAATCTGAAGAAGAAGTTCTGATCAGAAAACCTGTGAAAAAGGTTGCTCTGCAGAAAGTTGTCCCTGCTAAAGTTCAGAAGCTAGTGGCTAAGAAATCTGTTCTAAAGAGAAAGGCACCTTCCCCTATCTCTACAGAAAGCACCCCCTCTGCCTCCCTCATTGCAAAGAAGGCAAAGGTTCTGACACCTGCAGCACAGGAGAAGCTGGAGGATTCTGTCACCTCTGCCCCAGCCAACAGAAATGCTTGGCAAGGCAAGATGATTGTCTTTGAGTCTAGTGACTCTGAAGAAGATGTAGCAGTACTGGATGCTACTGTTCAGGGGGAATCTCACAGATCTCCCTCTGCAACTTTGCCCGAGCACCCCTTGATACTTACATCATCAGAACATCATCAAGAAGACAGAACCCCTGAGCCCACAGAACCCCAAGAGCTTATCCCCTCTGATCTAGATAAGGTATTCTTCAGGGTTCTGGCTTGGAGGAAGTGGAGAGTGGGACCTCTCTCAGAACTACTCAGTCTGCTTCCCAACTTTATCACAGAAGAAGCTGAAGTTCTGAAGTGGGCTGGCACAGAAGATGTTGAGCTTTGCCTCAACAAGAACTTTCTTCTATCTGTCCTTGCTGAAAAGAAAAAGGGGGAATGCAAAGGCAAGAGCAAGCTCACTGATGTCATAGAAGAAGAGCATGTCAAAGCTCTGACAGAAGATGAGATGGCAGCCTTTGATGCTTGGCTGATTGAAAAGAAGAGGAAGGAGTCTATGATCAAGTTTCAACATAGCGCACATGGAGAAGGGGAACCCTCTACTGCTAATGATCAGCAAGTCCTACAAAGCTACTTCAAAGAGACAGAAGACCCCTCCTCTGACTCAACTTGAGCATGAACTTATTGTTGAATCTCTCTCCTCTGTCCAAGAACATCACCCTTTGCCTAAGGGAAGAGGTCTAGAGATGCCTCCATCTGATGGACAAGAGAATCAAATTCCCTTCAACAAGTTCGTTGAAGCAGCAGAAGACTTTGGTGGACAAATCCTCCAAGGCATGGACAAGTTGATACAGATCAATGATAAGCATTATGGGCACCTTGCTCATGTGAATGATAATCTCAATTCTGGGATGCAGTTTATCTCAGATCGTTTTGAGAATCTCACAACATCCCTCCACAACTTCATGGCTTCCTCAACTGCCAGAACAGATGCGCTGTCAATAGAAGTGGAAGGTATCCATAAGACCCTTTTCACCTTTCATCAGACTCTGATAGCTCAAGGCAAAGCAATTGAAACCATCTCCTCGAATATTGATGATCTCCAATGGGCTGATACAAAATCAAAAGAACAACTATTGGACATAGAGGAACTCTGCAAAGTCCACCGTGATCAAGCCATGACTCTATTTGCTCAAGACAAAGAGAGATATCAGAAGATGGTTCTCTTAGAAGCCAGCAACAAAGATATCCTATCTGCCATCCAGAAGCAACATGGGCTTATTGAAGGTCTTACATCTGTAACTCAAACCTTACCAGAAACCCTGGAACAGATTGCCTCTACTCAGGCCACAAAATTCCAGAAGCTCTCCCTTCTGCTTGGTGATCTCGATGATGCCAAAAAGAGGGAAGAAGACCCTCATCTGCCAAAACCCAGGACCACCAGAACCTCATCATCTGCTGAACCAACTGTGGATCCCACGCCTTACTTTGAAGCTGCCCTCCAGAAGAAAAGGCTAGCTGGTATTCCTAGACCTCCATCCCCACAGAAGAAAGGAACTAAGAAGAAGAAAGCTCTAAGCTTTAAAGAATGGAGACTGGGAGGTTCTCAGGTGATGTCTAAAACACAATTTGAGGAAATGAAGCAGAAGATGACCTCTACACAACAACAGAATCTTTATTTGGACCATGATGGTCTTGTGAAGGTTAGACATGGTGGATCTCTGGAGGAAGCAGAATTCTGGTTTCACAACAGTATTGTACCAGGAAAAGATATCCATGAAGGTGTTCTAAACTACCTAGACTGCAAACTCTCACCCGTCTGGGCTTCTTATCAAAGAACTGGAAATCTGGTTGGAATCAGAGAAGAGGTGAATGCAGAGCTAAAGAGACTACAAGGACTGGATGAACAAGCAAGAGCTGAAGCTGCAAAGGCTATTATGTAATCAGATACTCTTGTAATCCACCTTAATAAAAGAACATCTTTGCCTCACACTTTGTAAGGCAATTCCTCAATCTCTGGCTTTTCTTTACTTTCTGTTTGTGTTTGTTTGTTTGCGTTTTGCTTTATTATCTGCTATCTGATTGTACTGCACTCTTACTATTTTCCTATGCCAAGTTGCCCACCAAGATTTTAATGGAAGTTCTAAACTTTAATTCTTTATGGTGAAGGCACTTCTCTGGAAATAGTTAAAGGGCTTTGGCATCATCAAAAAGGGGGAAATTGTAAGGAATATTTGTAATTAGATTTTGATGATGCTATATTAGTTAGGACTTTAAAGTACTCCTTTTTAGACTTAATGTATTAGAATTTTCCTTTGTAAAGTTCTTAGCATAATCGACTACCAGAAGGCCTCCACACCAGAAGACCTCCTGACAGAAGATCTTTGGTTCTCTGCCTAGGAACAGAAAACCTCAGGGTCTCTATTAGCCTTTACTTTGACAGAAACCCTCCTGGTTCTCTGTAAGCTATTATCAACAGAAGTGCTCAAGACCTTCTCTGACCAACTCTCTGCTAAAGACACCAGAAGGCCTGACACTTAGAAGAATTCCACAAAGCCGGGAAATCAACTGAAAGATTCCTTCAACGGCTAGGAGACTTGTACGGAAACGCTAGAGTGCCAGCATTAAATGCTCATTTAATGCTCCCCATGCTCCATAGAGTAATTGCAGATGATTGGCCGCAATGTCAGGATTACTTTATCCCAAACTAGTAACCCGCCAACTTTACCGGGTCCTACTGGTCAAGTCAACTGCTCGCGCATTAAATGCAGTTGTCCTCCTTCACCTCCAACGGGAAGACAACCCTCAGTATAAAAGATACACTACGAAGAACAACCGGATAACTTTTGCTCTACTAACTTTGCCAACTTCACCTCATTCTTTGCAAGAAAAACACATTCAAATTATTCAAGGCAAAAAGGTCCTCTTGAGATTCAAACTCTTCATCCTCAACAAGAGAGACACAAGTTGGAAAGAATATAACTTCATATCATTAAATCCAACAAGAGCAAGGTTCCAACAGTTCTTCAACAACTTCAAGCACTTCATCTACAAATCCTTTGTAACGAAGCTAGTTGGAGGAACCCCTGTTTCAACAGAAACTCTTCTTGTTACAAGAAGGACGTCCAAGTAACTGGAGTAGTGAAGTGGTGATACTTCCGGGAAGCTCAGTGAAAGGACCAGTCTTAAAGGAAGCCAGGCAGTGCATCCCAGGAGACATCTAGGCTTGAAGAAGACGTGGAGAGCTTCTTAAGTGCTAGGACTATGGCGTTGTAAACGGTCGTTTTTACAAGCTTAGTGGAACAGTGGATTAGAGGAACGAGTTGTTCCTTGAACCACTATAAAAATCCCTGGTGTCATTTACTTACTGTTTTAATATTTGCACTTAGATAGAACTGTCTAACTCCTTAGACTTGGTATCTGTGTTCAGCAGAACTTGTCTTACGAGTTAACAGAAGGCCTACTGCCTTTGCTTCTCTGAGGCTAAATCAACAGAACCCCCTACCAGAACCCCATCCGCTGCCAGTCTGCTCTGTCAACAGAACAGGCTATTCTGTAAAATCTGGTACTTAGTTTAAAAAGCTAAAAACCAATACAGTCTATTCACCCCCCCCCCTCTAGACTGTATCTTGCACAACCGGGACCAACACTATTTAATACAATGTCATATAAAATATAGCAAACTTACATTGGCACATTATTTCTTCTATGTGCAGTCATATACACAGTGGAATTTCAGAAGCGTGGCCTTCCCCACGCTCATATTTTGTTATTCATGGCAAATGCAGACAAATTTCCCACTTCGGCGGACATTGATGACATCATTTCTGCAGAAATACCTGATGAGGCAAATGATCCGGAATATTTCAATGCGGTACGTATGCATATGATGCATGGGTCGTGTGGAAATGAAGCAAAAAATGCTCCATGCATGGTACAATCTAAGTGTGCAAAGCACTTCCCCAAGAATTTCAATGAGCAGACAACCGTGGACGATGAAGGTTATCCTAGGTATAAAAGGCGCAATGATGGAAGGACTGTTGTGAAAAGTGGATCACACCTTGACAACAGATATGTTGTTCCCCATAATAGGTATTTACGCTTGAAGTACGGTGCTCATCTCAATGTGGAGTGGTGTAATCAAGGCAGGTCAATCAAATATTTGTTCAAATACGTCAACATAGGACATGATCGTGTGACAGCCGGATTTTATGAAACTTCAAATGCAGATGATAGCGAGAAACCCGTGGATGAAATAAAACTTTACTACGATTGTAGGTATATATCTCCATGTGAGGCGATGTGGAGAATACTAGGGTTTGAGATTCAGTATAAGAATCCATCTGTTGAACGATTGAGCTTTCACTTTCCGGATGAACAATATGTTTACTTTGATGATAATGCATCGGTAAGTGATGTTGTGTTACGCGAATCTGTGAAGGAGAATATGTTTTTGGCATGGATGAGGGCGAATGAGCAGTACCCAAATGAGGCACGGGATTTAACTTATGCTGAATTTCCTCAAAGGTTTGTTTGGAAGGCTACAACAAGAGAATTCGTACCTCGCAAAAAGGGTTTTGCTATAGGTCGACTAACTTATGTCCCTCCAGGTTCAGGGGAATCTTATTATTTGCGTTGCGTCCTAAATTTGAAGCGTGGGCCTACATGTTTTGATGATCTAAGAACTGTGGATGGGATTTGTTATGAGACATATCGTGAGGCATGTTTCGCAATGGGATTGTTAGATGATGACAAAGAGTATGTTGACGGAATTTCTGAGGGGAGTTTTTGGGCTTCAGCATGGGTGCTCAGAAAGCATTTTGTCATATTATTGATAGCGGATACGATGAGTAGACCAGAGTACGTTTGGGAAAAATGTTGGACATTCATGTCAGATGACATTTTACACAGGCAGAGAACAGCTTTACTCCATCCCGGTACATAACAAAACTACTACTTTTTTTCCCCTTTCAAATTAATTTCAATAATACATACATATCTTTCTTATGTTGATTTTGTTTTTCAATCCTTTGTTTTAGATTTAACGTTAACAGAGGCGGAGATTAAAAATTATGCACTAATAGAAATAGAGCTGATGTTGAAGAGGAATGGCAGGAGCTTAAAGAACTATCCATCAATGCCATTCCCTGACATAAGCCAATCATCCATGACTCAGAACAGGCTTATATTCGACGAATTGCAATATGATCGTGTTGCATTATGTCAAGAGCATGAGAAATGCATTGATAGTTTGAATGATCAACAACGTCACGTGTACACAACGATTATGGAATCGATTCAAGAAAACAAAGGCGGGGTTTTCTTTGTGTATGGTTACGGAGGTACAGGAAAAACGTTTGTTTGGAAAACATTGTCTGCTGCTTTGAGGTCAAAGGGGGAAATTGTTCTTAACGTTGCTTCCAGCGGCATTGCGGCTTTACTATTACCCGGTGGGAGGACAGCTCATTCACGTTTCGCAATACCAATCAATCCGACTGAAAACTCCACCTGCAACATCAATCAAGGGAGTCCACTAGCACAGTTGATAATTCGGTGCAAACTCATTATATGGGATGAGGCACCAATGATGCACAAGTATTGTTTTGAAGCTTTGGACAGGAGTTTGAGAGACATCCTTAGATTTACAAATTCATATACCAGTGATAAACCGTTTGGAGGGAAAACGGTGGTGTTCGGGGGATATTTTAGACAAATCTTACCTGTAATTACAAAGGGTACCAGACAAGACATAGTGAATGCCACAATTAATTCTTCATATATTTGGCACGAATGCATTGTCTTGCGTTTGACAGAGAACATGAGGCTCCAATCACTTAGTGACGATTGTGAATATGAAGATTTGGTGGAGTTTGCGAACTGGATTGCTGCTTTAGGAGATGGTACCGCGGGCGAAGTCAATGATGGATTTGCCGATGTCAAAATTCCAAGCGACATTCTCTTAGAGTGCGGAGAGGATCCGATTGCCACTATTGTAAAAAGCACCTATCCTGACTTTGAGAAAATAGCCAATGATCTGTCCTACTTGCAAGAGCGTGCAATCCTAGCTCCAACTCTTGATGTTGTGGATCAAATTAACGAATACATGACATCTCTCAATGTTCAGGAAGAGTCTAGGACATATTTGAGTTCTGATAGCATCTGCAAGTCAGACTCAAATTCCGATTTCTTGGCTGATTTGCACACTCCTGAATTCCTAAATAAAATCCGTGCATCAGGAGTTCCGAACCACGAGTTAATCCTTAAAGTCGGTACTCCGATAATGCTTCTGAGGAATATTGATCCGTCTATGGGGCTTTGCAATGGAACAAGGTTGATTGTTACACGACTTGGGAATCACATCCTCGGAGCAAAAATTCTAGGGGGGAAATATGCTACACTTGAAGTTGTCATTCCAAGGTTAACTTTGACTCCATCTGATTCAAGAATTCCCTTCAAGTTTCAAAGAAGACAATTTCCCGTCATGACCTCTTATGCGATGACAATAAATAAAAGTCAAGGTCAATCACTGTCGCATGTTGGCCTTTTATTAAAAAAGCCAGTCTTTACGCATGGTCAACTGTATGTTGCAACATCGAGAGTCACAAATCGCAAGGGTTTGAAGATACTCATATGCAGTGAAAATGGGGAACAACTCGATCGTACTACCAATGTTGTTTACAAAGAAGTATTTCGGAATTTGTAGAGTACGGATTTCCTGTTGTAATTTTTATTATTCCTTACGATCCTGAAACATTATTCGTACCAATTACGCCTCATATATATGTACATTAATTACAACTGGTTGTATGTGTTACATATATACTCTTTCATGTCATTTAGGCATTAACTATTTATATTAACAACTAATACGAAACAACTAATTACTTAATATTATTATTTAGTATATGTCCCGCGCATCGCGCGGGTGAAAATCTAGTTAATACAAAGGGCAGCTGTGGGAATAAATAAAAAATTACTCACCATGCACAACATACGGATGATAGTCTATAGAAAAAACTAAAAGAGTCGTACTTTGGGAAACACGTTATGTTTTAGTAATATCCCCCGTAATTATCTCAAGAAAGAAACGAAGAAGCAACGGAAAAAAGCTAAGAAAGAACACACTAACTACATACGACGTACATAGTATATAGTATATACTCCATAGTATTTTACCTCATTTAAATACTCCTCATTTGACTATATTCATGACTACCGGACCCATGTAGTAATGAACTCATAATAATTTGTACGTCGTATTTAATTTTCAAACTTTTTGGCACGGAAATGCCAAATCCGTGCCAAAAACATTTTGGCACGAATTATTTGGCAAGAAAAATCGGTAAGTCTATGCCAAATTCTGTGTTAAAACTGCCAATCCCGTAATTTTTTTTAGTGTATTAATCATATTTTTGTAAATAAGTTTTATTTTGGTAATATTTTTGGGGAATCTAAAAACATGAGTCTCTCAAAGTTACGAAATAATTACAGCTCTATAATTACTAGCTGACTTTAAAAATATTAACTTATACTTCATACGTAACAAAACTGTATTAACTTTATTAGTAATCCTTGTTGCAAAAAAAACTTTATCAATAATCCTTTTAAATGAATTGTATTTGAATAACAGTTTTGAAAAGATTTCTTATTTTAAACTATCGAACGATCGCCCCTCCATTAGTCCATTATAAATTCAGAAAGTCTTGTGTTCCCCACCGCCAATAATGTGTAATTTTAGGTGGTGCTTATTCTTATTTTATTCAGATCAGATCAGATCAGATCAGAAAAATTCAGATCAGATCAGATCATATCAGATTAGAAAGATTCAGATCAGATCAGATCAGAAAGATTCAGATCAGATCAGAAGCATTCAAATCAGATCAGATCAGAAACATTTAGATCAAATTGGAAACAATCTCATATTATTATTATTATTATTATTGTTGTTGTTGTTGTAATTATAATTATTATTATTGTAATTATTATTATTACTGTTATTACTCCCTCCGTTCCTAAAAATACTTCCCACTTTCCTTTTTGGGTTGTTCCCAAAAATACTTCCCACTTTCCCATTTTGGACAATTTGTGTGGCTCACATTCATTTTACATTTTTCTTACACAACCACAACCATACATTTCCACTTTATTCCACTTTCTTAATAAGCGTGCCAAGTCAAACCGGGAAGAATTTTTAGGAACGGAGGGAGTATTATATAACGGTTTCGGAAGTTAAGATTTGATCAGAAGGATTCAGATCAGATCAAAAACATTCGGATCAGATCAGACAAATTCAGATCAGATCAGATTAGACAGATTCAGATCAGATCAGATCAGAAAGATTCAGATCAGATCAGATCAGATCTTAAAAAATTCAGATCAGAAACATTCAGATCAGACGAAGAGAACAACTTCTTACTCTAGTAGAAAGCCCAACAAATTTAAACATGTGAATCATTTATTTCAACTCGTTTTACCACCAAAATTTGAATGTTTTCTTTTGGACTGAATTTTGTTGATCTGATCTGGATTGGTCTAGTACGTAAATGTCTGGTCTTTGTGTAATTTATAACTATCCAAAAAAGTGATTGATGTAACACATACGGAGTATTATTGATCCATATCATTAATTCATCATTTATTTATATTTTAATTATTTAAATGCAAAACGTCGATTTGGTCCATTTAGAAAAATTATGGTAGCTTAAGGTCCTGTTTGGTTGGAGGGTTTTCGGAGGGGAGGGGAGTGAAGTGGGGGATTTGTGTGTGTTTGGTTGAAGAAAATAGGGGGAAGGGGAATAAAGTGGAAGGCTTTTAAAATTCTCTACTTCCTCCCATTCTAAACCCCCCAAATCAGGGTATTTCGGAGGAAACGTGTTGATAACCGCAAACTATTCATCTCCTACGTGAATGAACAAAACATTATAATATAAAAAGGTAAAAAATAAAAAAAAATTGTAAAAATAAAAAATTTAAAATTTAAAAATTTAAAGATTAAAAAATTAAAAAAATTAAAAAATTTAAAATTTTAAAAATTAAAAAATTTAAAAATTATAAATTATAAATTATTTTAAAAATTAAAAATTAAAAAAATTAAAAATAAAAAATTAAAAATTCCAAACTAAAAAATGAAAAATTATAAAATTAAAAAAGTAAAAAAAAAAAAAAAATTATGACTCATGACCATAGGAGTAATATATTCACAATAGTTAGACATGTATCTATTTTTTTAAGTAAGCTATCAAATAAAAGTAAATTGCAAAAATATTTTCATTAAACCTTTCCTCCTATTTCCTCCAACCAAACACAAATTTTTATCAAAATTCTTCATTCCCCTTCCCTTCCCCTCCCTTCTTGACTCTCCCCTTCCTTCCCTCCTTTGAACCAAATAAGGCCCAAGAGTAACGTAGAATTTACCTAAAAGAGAAGAATAAAAGGAACGAGGGGAAGGTAACCAAAAGTATTCCTTTTGCCCGACGACTTCAGCTGGTCATGCCATAAAAGTTGAAGATACAATTCCTTAATTGAACCGCACCTTAAATTAAGGGAAAACTGTTAAATAGGTCCTCGAACTTTCATAAAAAGATCAATTAAGTCCTTCAATAGGAGGTTCTGTCCGGCCATCGCGATTTGGGGCAGTTCCCGGTGGAATTTTTTGATTAAATTTTTTTAGAATCTTATTCACCAAGTCTAGTTTACTCATACCAAATTTCAGTTAAAAATTCAATCGGGAACACATTCAAATTAATTCTTGAGGATAACTGCGCATTTTTGCGTTCTCGAATTAATTTGAATGTGCTCCCGATTAAATTTTTAGCTTAAATTTGGTATTAGTAAACTTTACTTGATGAATAAGATGCTCAAAAAATTACATCAAAAAATTCCACCGGGAACTGCCCCAAATCGCGACGACCGGACAGAGTCTCCTATAGAAGGACTTAATTGACTTTTTTATGAAAGTTCGAGGACCTATTTGACAGTTTTCCCTTAAATTAAAGTGTCAAAGATTTAATTTAAGGGTTCTGATTTCTGCGTTTACACAATTCATTATAAGAAAACACATCCTATTTGTTTAATTAATTAAACCTTCTTTACGACATAAATTCTATTTAGCTTGACAAAACTGAGTAGCTAATCGTGGCTTTTGATCATTGTTAATT